GCCTCAAGTGATCATCCCGCCTCAGCCTCCCAAAATGCTAGGATTATAAGCATGAGCCACCATGACCAACCTCAGAATAGTAGAAGCTGCAGGGAAGACACAATGCTCTTACCTGGATCTCCCCTATCTCTTACACAGAATAAAAGGTGCCAAGGAAAATAAATTGTATAGCCATATGCAAAAAACAAACAAACAAACAAAAAAGAAAATCTGTTAGACTCTTATCTCCACATTAAAATTAACTCAAAATGGATCACAGAACTAAATGTAAAGATGTCAGAGATAAAACAAGAAAACTTCTAAAAAAAAAAAAAAAAAGAAGAAAATTGTTGTGACTTTGGATTAGGCAAAGATTTCTTACACATGATCAAAAAAGCACAATCCATAAAAGAAAAACTGATAAATTGGACTTCATCAAAATTTAAAACTTCTGCTCTTCCAAAGACACCACTGAGAAATGAAAAGACAAGCCCCAGATTGAGAGTAAAGGAACGTATTTCATTTGACCATAAGCTATGATTAAGATATATATTGTAAACCCTGGCCACTATAAAACATTTTAAGAGGCATAAATAATAAGCCAATAATAGAGACAAAACGGCCTCATTAAAAAAATCAAAAGAATAAAGAGTTAAAAGAAACAAAGAACAAGGGAACAAATAGGAGACACCTGGCAAGATGCTACATTTTAGTCTATCTATATCAATAATTACATTACATGTTAATACCCTAAATACACTACTAAAAAAGACAGGTTGTCAGATAATCTAAGACCCAATTCTAAGATGTTTATAACAAACACATGTTAAATAAAAGGATATAAGTATGCTAAAAGTAAAATAAGATATACAAACCTTGCAAATGTTAATCTAAAGAAACCTTGAGTAGTACTGAAATAACTAAATTAATATCAAATAACTTTTTAAAATCTTTCTGTAGAGAAAGGGTCTTGCTATGTTGCTCAGCCTGGTCTCCAACTCCTGGCGACAATTGATACTCACTCTCACCTCAGCCTCCCAAAGTGCAGGAATTACAGGAGGGAGCCACCGCACCTAGTCAATATCAGACAAATAATTTTAGAATAAGAAATACTATCAGGGATAAAGGACAGTACATATCAATAAAAGGATCAATTCTCCAAGAAGAAATAATAACCCTAAATAATACCTAGCAAGAGATCTTCAAAATGCATGAAGCAAATTGATAGAAATGACAGGAGATAAAGAAGCCACAATTCAACACTCCTCTCGCAGTAATGAAGAACAAGGAGGCAGAAAATCAATAGGATGTAGAATCCTAAACAACACTATCAACCAAACTGATGAACTTAATATTTATAGAATAGTCCTCCCAACAATAGCAGAATATATTAGGTCAATAAATACAAAATGTCCAATTTCGAATCAAAAGTGTAGTTTATTACATATCAATAAGAAGCAGTACAATTAATCAAAGTATGTGCCTATTGACACAATTTTGCCATCTTAACAGTAGCTTGTTCATGCCAACAGTAAAGAAGCCTGGAGAATGGGTGGTGATGAAATCAAGAAAGGCATTTTCCACAGCTTGTTGAGAACTGAATATTTTTCCTTGCAAGAAGTGGTGCAAAGCCTGGAAGCAGTGTTACTCAGTTGGTTCACGGTCTGGTGAATATGGTGGATGACAGAGAGTTTCCAAATCCAGCGTCTGTAGTTTGAGCAGCTTTGTTTGTGCTACATGTGGTCGAGCATTGTCTTGCAAGAGGATTGGCTTGTCTCTATTGACCAATCTCAGCTGCTTACTTGCAAGCATATTCAAACTCATTTGAAGTAACTCGAATTTTTGACTTATATATGGCTTCACAAAAATTGTTCTAAAAAAATCTGAAAGATAATAACAAGCCAAAACGTATGTTTGCAAGATGTACCTTCACAATAAACATAAAACAAGAAGTATCAAAGTGTCAGACATATATATCAACTGTCACCCTTAGTACTTAAGTACCTACCAAAGGAATCTTGGAGTATATAATACAAATTACTTGTCTTAGACACTGTTTATTCCACATGCATAAAGCTCTTAAGTGGCTTTCAAAAAGATCAAAAGAAAGTAAATATAACATCCATATGGTTAAGCTTTATTTTTATATGCATACGTTTTGAATATGAGTTCCATCATGGAACCAATGCAGTGTAGACATCTCAGCTAGAAATATCAATGAAGTGTTCAGGAAGGATGTAGCTAATGAACACACAGTACATCCATGGTTTGAGAAGTTCTATTCTGGTGATTTCAATCTTGAAAATGAGCCACGTGGGTGACCTGAGTCCAAGGTGATAATGATGAGCTGAAAGCTATAGTGGAAGCGAATCCATCTCAACTGATGCATTAATTAGCAGCAAGGTTTGACATTACTATTTGAACAATATTGGATCATTTGAAACAAATGGGCAATGTAAAGAAGCTGGATAGATGGGTTCCACATGAATTAACTGGTGCAACCTCTCTGTGGAAAGCAGTATGGAGATACCTTAAAGTGATTCAAGTAGATCTACCATTTGATCCAGCAATCCCACTACTGGGCATCTACCCAAAAGAACAAAAGTCACTCTATAAAAAAGACACCTGCACTCGAATGTTTATAGCAGCACAATTCACAATTGCAAAGTTGTGGAAACAACCCAAATGCCCATCAATACATGAGTGGATTAATAAAATGTATATGTATACCATGGAGTACTATTAGGCTTTAAGAAACGATGGTGATATAGCACCTCTTGTATTTTCATGGATAGAGCTGGAACCCATTCTACTACGGTGATTCCCTGAAAATAAGACAGGGTCTTATATTTATTTTTTTCTCAAGAAGACACCCTAGGGCTTATTTTCAGGGGATGTGTTATTTTTCTTAAGTACAGTACAACAATCTACATTTATTCAGATATAGTTAAGTTGTTGTCTTCTGGAACATCATCATAACTCTCCAAACCCCGAATTTCATCCTGAATTTCTTGCAACTCTATTTCCTTTAGAACCATTGGCCCCAATCTCTCATGTTGAGCAATAGAGCTCTCATGGGGCAGATGAGAAGGGCTGCTTGTCTTCTTTACCACTCCGCGACAAAATGCATGGGTTGTGCAGATGCTGCACAGCCACACCCATCACTAGGTCTTAATTTCGGGGTAGGGCTTATATTGCGCAAATGCTTAGAAATCCTTCTAGGGCTTATTTTATGGGTAGGTCTTATTTTCGGGGAAACACAGTAAGTGAAGTATCCCAAGAATGGAAAAACAAGCACCACATGTACTCACCAGCAAATTGGTATTAACTGATCAACACCTAAGTGGACATATAGGAATAACATTTATCGATTGTCAGGAAAGTGGGAGGGGGGAGAGGAGGATGGGTATATATATACATAATGAGTGAGGGGTATATATATATACATAATGAGTGAGATGTGCACCATCTGGGAGATGGTCACGCTTGAAGCTCTGACTTGCAGGGCGAGGGGAGCATGGGCAATATATGTAACATTTATACCCCCATAATATGCTGAAATAAAAAAAAAAGGCCAAACTGATGCCAGAGTGCCTGGGTTTGAATGCCAAATTTAGACTAACTCTGTGACCTTGGGCAAGGTATTATCCTTTTTGTGTCTCCATTTCCTCACTTGTAAACTGGAGATAAGAACCTTCATAGTGATTTTTTGTTATTGTTGTTATTCAGTTTTTATTTCATAATTATAAACTTAACTCTGCAATCCAACAAGAGGTGGAAGGGAATAAGGAAAATATGGAACCCAAAGAACTACAGTAATAGCACAAAGATTATAGGGTATTAATAGTAAATGGGGTGGAGGGGTGCTCTCCTGAGCTACAGAAGGAATGGTCTGGTGGTTAAGATAAAACACAAGTCAAATTTATTAAAGTTGTTCACAGAAGGCAATGGTGACCTTCTTGCTGGTCTAGGCATTCTTGGACCCAAAGTGCTCCAAGGCTTCCATGATATTCATGCCCTCTCTCACCTTGCCAAAGACCACATGCTTGCCATCCAACCAAACTTGTCAATGCAGATGAAAAACTGGGAACCATTTGTGTTGGGTCTAGCACTTGTCATGGACAAGGTGTCAAGACCTACATGCTTCAGGTTGAAGATCTCATCACCAATTTCTCCCCACAGACAGACTTGCTGCCAGTGAAACTATGGCATGTGAAGTCACCACCATGGCACATAAACACTGAAATAATTCTGTGAAAGCAGGAACCCTTGTAACAAAATCCTTTCTCTCCAGTGCTTAGAGCTGAAAGTTTTCTGCTGTCTTTGGAACTTTGTCTGCAAACATCTCAAAGGAGACATGGCCCAAGGGCTTGCAATTGATGGCGAGTGGTAACTGCAAAGCCATAGTGTTTTTATAAGGATTAAATGATTTAAAAATCCCCAGTACATAACAAGAAAATATAAAAGTACTTTTTTTCTAGACATTTTTAAAAATGATTTTTTTATATCTGATTCTTTATAGCATCCTTGGTTTTATAAGATATGAAATGTCAGAAAATTTGAGAAGGACACAACATACAATCCTTTGTGTTTATATGTAAATTCCCATTGATATTTCTGTGAAAATTATCCTCTCTTTCCCATGACAGGAATAAAAAAATTATTAAAATGTTCTTGTCTCAAAAAAAAATAAGGTCTCTCAGCCTATTCCTTTATCAAATGTAAATGATAGCTGCTCTGATGAAATGTTTTTTAATTCAATCAAGTTTAAATATAGAGAATGCTCTTAAATGTTAAATCTATGTCAGGATTTAATCACCTTAAAATCATATCCATTTTCTAAATGCACGTTTGGTAAGAACATTTTTTCCCATTACAGCTTGACCATGTACCTAGCAAAGGAATCTTCAAGTATATAACACAAATTACTTGCCTTAGAAAAGACACTATTCATTCCACATGTGTAAAGCTCAATAAGCAGCTTTCAGAAAGATCAAAAGAAAGCAAATATAACATCCATGCAATTGTTTAAGCTTTATTTTTAAATCCATACAGTTTCAAGGAAACAAAAATTTTAAGACATGGAATACAATATATCAAATGAAATAATTCAGAATTATTTTAATGTCAACACAAATAACAATATAAAGTACATACATAGGATACATTATATAATTTGTTTTGAGGTTTCAAAAAGCAGTGATTTGGCTTTAAAATTTGGATACAGTATCTATTATAACATTCAAGTAACAAATTTCAAAAGTTTGATTTTTTTTAAAATCAAATTACCTAAATTAATACATAACTCTAAGACAACCTGCCTCTACCATGATCTTCAAAATAGTGCTGTTCAATTCTTCTACAGAAAGCAAGGAGGTTGCTATAGTTTTTCACCTTCTCAGAAAGTTCATCATTGGTCAATTGTGTGGTAAGAATGGTGTACAAATGGCCAAATACCAGCGCATCAAGTTCAGTAGGCCTAAAACAAAAGTAGAAATGAGAGTAATATGAGTAGAATTTAATCTTTTTTTTTTTTTTTTTTTTGAGACAGAGTCTCGCTTTGTTGTCCAGGCTAGAGTGAGTGCCGTGGCGTCAGCCTAGCTCACAGCAACCTCAAACTCCTGGGCTCAAGCGATCCTTCTGCCTCAGCCTCCCTAGTAGCTGGGACTACAGGCATGCGCCACCATGCCCGGCTAATTTTTTATATATATCAGTTGGCCAATTAATTTCTTTCTATTTATAGTAGAGGCGGGGTCTTGCTCTTGCTCAGGCTGGTTTTGAACTCCTGACCTTGAGCAATCCGCCCGCCTCGGCCTCCCAAGAGCTAGGATTACAGGCGTGAGCCACCGCGCCCGGCCTAGAATTTAATCTTTATAGTAGGAAATACCACCAGGTTCTCTGCACCCACAGGTCCCACACCCACAGGTTCAACGAACCTGGGGTCAAAAAAATAGTTTAAAAATAAAAAATAACAATACAACAATAAAAATAATACAAATTTTAAAAACAACATAGTGTAACAACTATTTACATAGCATTTAGATTGTATGTATTAAGTATAAGTAATCTAAAGATGATTTAAAGTATACTAGAGGATGTGTACAGGTTATATGCAAATACTATGCCATTTTGTATGAGACTTGAGCATCTGGGAATTTTGGTATCAACAGGGGTCTTGAAACCAATCCCCCATAGATACCAAGACACAACTGTACACTACTTTAAAAAACATTTTATTCACCAATTTAAAAGAAAAACGCTACATAAGAAATAAATCCTACCACAACTTGAGAGAATTTATTCTGTCTTAACTTGGAGTTTCTGTTTTAAGATACAAAAAAAAAAAATTTAAGTATGATTTGTTAGTTGTATGACTTGTTTTTTGAAGTAACAGTAATATTTAAATGTGTTAAAATAATGTAGGTGAATAGATAGATAGGTGAATAGATCATATTCATTTTATTCACTAAATAAATATAGCAGGTCTCCAGCATGCCTGATACTATGCCAGATGCTGGAGACATAAAAACAAGAAAGATACTCTAAGACATGGACACAAAACATAAATTACCACAACATAATTTATTAAGTGTTTTAATAGAAACACAAAGTGCTATCATTGCTCAATGATAGTGCTATAGTTGAGCTGCTTTCACAGAATTAGCAGAATTAAAATACTCTTACTCTGGCTTCACGTTGCTGGCTACTTTTTGTTTTTCAGAATAAGGCTTAAATGTCACATGTTAACACCCCCCGCACCTCAATCAAATTAAAGTGGGCAGTCACTTATTATCATGGGATGCTACATGTGGCACTTAATACCATCTAATATTTGTTGCTTACTGTGCAACTCCTCTATCAGAAAGTTCTATGAGAAAAAGGACCTTATCTACTTGTTTTCTTTTCTTTTCTTTTTTTAGACAGTCTCGCTATGTTGCCCCAGCTAGAGTGTAGTGGCATCATCATAGCTCACTGCAACCTCAAACTCCTGGACTCAAAAGACCCTTCTGCCTCGGGCCACCAAGTAGCTGGGACTACAGAGGCACACCATGACGCCCAGCTAATTTTTCTATTTTTAGTAGAGACGGGGTCTCGCTCTTGCTCAAGCTGGTCTCGAACTTGTGAACTCAAGCAATCCTCCAGCCTTGGCTTCCCAGAGTGCTAGGATTACAGGTGCGATCCACCATGACTGGAGTATCTACTTGTTTTCTGCTATATTCCCAACACCTAGAACAATGCCTGGCATGTAGGTTCTCAATAAATATGTGCTGAAAGAATCAATAAAAAGGTGACACACTTCTCATAACACACTAAAACTTGTTGACTTAACTGTTTCCCTCATTATACTCTATGCCCTTTATAGGCAACACTGTATATTATCTTTGTATCTCCAGTTCATAGCACAATACCTAAGGAACTGAAATGACATTTGCTTAATAAATAAATGATATAAAAAAGCATCTTGACTAAGGTTTGTGGGATATTTTATTCTCTCAGTTATAGTTATTCACATTCTTTCAAAGCCTTCTCTCTTTTGACACATTCATGAAGTATTAATCAAAGTCAGATGTGCAATATATAGCCATGTTTAAAAGCACAGCTGACAGTATAGCCTTAAAAAAATCTCGTTGTTAGGCTGGGCGCTGTGGCTCACACCTGTAATCCTAGCTCTTGGGAGGCCGAGGCGGGCGGATTGCTCAAGGTCAGGAGTTCAAAACCAGCCTGAGCAAGAGCGAGACCCCGTATCTACTATAAATAGAAAGAAATTAATTGGCCAACTGATATATATATTAAAAAAATTAGCCGGGCATGGTGGCGCATGCCTGTAGTCCCAGCTACCCGGGAGGCTGAGGCAGAAGGATCACTCGAGCCCAGGAATTTGAGGTTGCTGTGAGCTAGGCTGACGCCATGGCACTCACTCTAGCCTGGGCAACAAAGCGAGACTCTGTCTCAAAAAAAAAAAAAAAAAATCTCGTTGTTAAACTCAACAGCACCATAATCTTATCATCACAGATGAGTCAATAACAAATGGATCCCTGAAAAGAACCAAGGATGTACAGTGGATAAATGTAGAGCTAAGGTACTTGCAAGAAGTAATATTATGTAAAGACCAACTCTTCCACATCCCTAAACATATTTCTTAAAAGATACATCTTAACAATTCAGGACTTATTTTCCTAATCTTTGTTTAGTGCCAGCTACCCTTTGTTTCTTGTATGAGAGCCTAAAAAAGGTGAACGTATTCCCTATGCAACTTCCAATAGTGTAGATAGGCATCCTTTATCAATAAATGAAGGCTCTGAGGCCGGGCGCGGTGGCTCACGCCTGTAATCCTAGCACTCTGGGAGGCCGAGGCGGGCGGATTGCTCGAGGTTGGGAGTTCGAAACCATCCTGAGCGAGACCCCATCTCTACTAAAAATAGAAAGAAATTAATTGACCAACTAAAAATATATATACAAAAAATTAGCCGGGCATGGTGGTGCATGCCTGTAGTCCCAGCTACTCGGGAGGCTGAGGCAGGAGGATCGCTTGAGCCCAGGAGATTGAGGTTGCTGTGAGCTAGGCTGACGCCACGGCACTCACTCTAGCCAGGGCAACAAAAGTGAGACTCTGTCTTAAAATAAATAAATAAATAAATAAATGAAGGCTCTGAATGAGTTCAAGCATGAATGTATGCTCAAATTAGAGTGCTTCAGAAGTACTCCTGAAGTGGTCAAAACATTATTTGCTGTAACTATATATCCACGTAAGTCTAAAGATATTGAATTATATATGGGTATGAGCAAATAAAAATTGATCTGATATTACATAAAGATAGCAACTTTGTGACAAGTTACTTTAGAACATCAACAAGAAGTAGAATTCAATAGATTAAATCAAGCTAAGCACATATAGTCACATGTTGCTTAGCAATAAGAATACATTCTGAGAAATGCATTGTTAGGTGATTTCATCGCTGTATGACATGATAGAATGTATTTATACATATCTAGATGGTATGGCCTACTACATGCCTAGGCTATATGGTATATCTTATTGCTCCTAGGCTACAAACCTGTACAGTAACTTACTGTATTGAATACTGTAGGCAACTGTAACACAATAGTAAGTATTTGTGTATCTAAACATATCTAAATTTTTAAAAAGTACAGTAAAACAAGGAATTATAATGTTGTAAGACTGTCATATATGTAGTCCCCCATGGACTGAAATGTTATTCGGCACATGACTGTCTATATATATGACTCTGACAATAAATTAGTAATTCTAACAATTCTTTCATTGGAAAAAGTATACCTGTTATGGTGGTTACACAACTGTAACCTTTGTTAAAACTGAAAGAACTATACACTTAAAAATGACAATTTTATTACATGTAAATTACATATCAATAAACCTGACTGTTTAATCAAGTCAAGATCTTGACTGAATTATCTTGGTATACCATATGAAGAGAAAACATAATGTTCCACCTGTCCTTTAATTAGCTTTATACCATGTAAAGAGAAAACATAACTTTCCACCTGTCTGCCTACCAAATAGTTTGTGGATTATATAATTTGTATGTCGATAGCAATTCCCCTCCTAAGAGTTCTAAGATATGTCATATATATTGTTACATTTATCTTTATAGATTTTTTAATTAGAAAAACATTCTGGGGTGACAAATACATTTTTAAAGTCCAAAAAATTTGATGCTTCCTTATCTTGTATCATCATTCTTTCCACATTTCTGTTGGTTATCTACTGTTCTTTCATTTGAAAATTAAAATAAAAACAGTACTGTAGAACATCAACATTTTCCTATCTGTTTCCATTTAAAATTTTTCTGGCATGCATCCTTTTTGCTTTGTTTATTCATTATGATTTCGTATTTCTTTTTTTTTATGATTTTGTATTTCTTTTTCTCTGATACCTTTTATAGTATCATCTAATTTCAAAAATATTAATTTTATCTAGGTGTTTCCTAATTTTTCTTGCCCAATATATATATATATATGTAACTTGTCATCTCCTTATACTAATAGAAATAATCTACATATCCTTCCTTTATATGTCAATCACTGATCTTTAGGACTGCCACACAAGTATGTAAATCAAGCCCCTCACATCTTGGTCCTCTTTCCCCAATTATTATCCTTGCTGTAAGATCTTCCTTAACTATCCTTTTCCTTTGGTTTCTTTCATGAGTCCTCCCAACATCCCTTGTAGGTAAGCTAGGAGTAAAGTTGATTCTAATTTTAAGGAGTAAGGGGAAGAGGATACACAGAGAATTAAAGTAACTTGCCCAAGTTTGGTATATTTCAGAGCCAAGAATAGAATTGAGGGCCTCTAACTTAGAGTTCAATACTATATAGCTTGATTTAAGCCAGGGCTTTATTCACTAAGGTATGGCGTCTTACAAAGCGATAACTCCTACCACAAATAAAGAAATGAGAAAAATTTTGCCAGAACAAAGTGAAAATACAAGTTACATTTTCCTAAATGTACTTTATTTGCATTTTAATATGAAATGATTGAGTAAAATTAAATTTAAATATTAAAGCTATTCTCATCTTCAATCATAATTATTTCCTAGGGAAAAAGGTTTATCTGCCTAAATATCATATAAGGTAAAATTATTTCAAAAACCTGAACCTTAATATCAATTAAACAGTTCCTCAAAAGCAAGCCTTTAGTTTTATAACTGTTCTAAATTAGAATTTCCATTATAAGTTTAAATATAACTGTGCCCTTATGAAGACAAATGATATCTTGATATTTACATTGAGTGGCATGCCAAATGATTTCTGGTTACTAACACAGTGACAATGAGTTTAAATGAGAACAAAAATAAGTTAGATCTACTCTCTTGGACGCCCCTAAAGACAAAGTGTATAACAAAACTAACTCAAACTAACTTGTAAAACAGAAAAATGCACTTTAAACAATAAAACACACCTCTTCTGAGCTTTGTAACTTCTAAGCATTCCTATATCAGAAAGAAAAGGTGAATTACAGAATACTAACATTTGGATACATTTCTTTTATATTAGAGACTAAACAAATAGAATCTGCATAGCAAACATCACTAGAAACAGGAACAGAGCTGTAAAAGCTTTACCTACCAGGATTTCATGATTTGAACTCTGTGACCTTTCCTTTTCAAAGACCAACAGATCCCAAATTTTATTTTTATTTATTTTTTAATTTTTTTTTTTTTTTTTTGAGACAGAGTCTCACTCTGTTGCCTGGGCTAGAGTGCCGGGGCGTCAGCCTAGCTCACAGCAACCTCCAACTTCTGGCCTCAAGCAATCCTCCTGCCTCAGCCTCCTAAGTAACTGGGACTACAGTCATGAACCACCATGCCTGGCTAATTTTTTTTTCTATTTTTTTTAGTACAGATGGGGTCTCAGTCTTGCTCAGGCTGGTCTTGAACTCCTGACCTCAAACGATCCGCCCGCCTCGGCCTCCCAGAATGCTAGGATTACAGGCATGAGCCGCTGTGACTGGCCCCCAAATTTTACTTTAATATCAGTTATATATAATATTCATTATTCATGCTATGGAATAATATAACTTAAATATTTCCAAGCTATCATCATAATCATTTTTACTACAAACATTAATATCTTTACCACAAGCTGTTTGATATGGCTATAGAAGATGAATGCTTATGAAGATATAATAAATAATAGCAAATAAAGCCTTTTAAAAATTATCAATCTTTTAAAAAGCGAAAAATTTTTATTAAAAAGCCAAGTAAGGCCGGGCGCTGTGGCTCACGCCTGTAATCCTAGCTCTTGGGAGGCCGAGGCGGGCGGATTGCTCAAGGTCAGGAGTTCAAAACCAGCCTGAGCAAGAGCGAGACCCCGTCTCTACTATAAATAGAAAGAAATTAATTGGCCAACTGATATATATATAAAAAATTAGCCGGGCATGGTGGCGCATGCCTGTAGTCCCAGCTACTCGGGAGGCTGAGGCAGAAGGATCACTCAAGCCCAGGAGTTTGAGGTTGCTGTGAGCTAGGCTGACGCCACGGCACTCACTCTAGCCTGGACAACAAAGTGAGACTCTGTCTCAAAAAAAAAAAAAAAAAGCCAAGTAAAATTCAGACCTTCTAAACAAACCATTGAGATTGACATGCTAATTTAAGCCCATCTTGTACTGAATCACAGAATAGACAGCTGATTCTGATATATCAAAAATGGTAATTTTTAATAAAAAGTTCATTCTTTGCTTATATTAGAGATTCTTTTCAAAATTGCAAAAAAATCTATCAATGAAACATGAAGTACTCAATTTACATATATACAGATATAATTGAATCCTTTCTTTTCTATGCTTTATGAATGTTTCCATTAACATTTAAAAGATAATCTGAAAATAGTGCTTGTCTATCCAAGAATATTTTTTATTGTATAGTTCTGATGACTTTTCTAGTCCCTAGGGTATCATCCTATATGGGGTATCATCCTAAACAAACAACTATACTTACACTAACAACTTCTTCATGTTGTTATAGTACTTTACAAATTTAGAATTTTGTAGGATTTTGAAGTTATATACAACACCTTGAACTACCTCTATTACAACCTTTATCATATCATACAATAATGACTGATTTACATCACTGCCCTTAAGAGAAATTCTTAATGACAAAGACCACATTTTAGAAATTTTAATTTCCCAAAGCCAAGCTTTCTGTGCCTGGTAGCCAAGAAGTACTAAATGCTTAATGAGTATAAAAATTTGAAAAAATAACTAAATATTTTCATAAATATTTTTTTAAAAAGCCATTTCTTTATGACAAAAGAAATTTGCAACCCAGCAATACAGGGAAAAAACTAACTTAAAAATGTCTTACTGTTTATTGAAGAAATAGGGCTGTGTTCCCAGTCTTTGAGAAAGAGCTTGACAGCACTGGTCTACATCTTCTAAAACCTGATGCAATGGGCCACAAAGAAAAATATTTAAATTAGCAAAACAATAAAGAGTATCTAAAACTTAATTTATATCAAAATTTAAAACAAAAATATAAATTTAGGTTAACCTTTTATAATATATTTAAATCAGACTATAGACCACATATAATACTTTCTACATAAGAAATAGAAAATTTGAAAATAAATTTCATTTAAATACAAGTAATTTTAAGTTACTTATAAGAACTCTGTCAAGAAAATGTTATACTGAACCAATATATTCAAATAACTCTGCAGATATAAAAAAATTTGCTTCATAAAGATGACACTGCTGAACCACCATGAGTAAAAACATTAGAGTTGTTTTCCCACTAGTGGAAATAGATTTTATTTACTCCTTCCCTATTTATTTACTTAATCCCCCCTGTGGCCAATGACACACATCAGTGAAATAGCTGGCCAGGATTAAGGGTAGCCTTGGAAAAGACAGACATTTATTGACTTGATAGTGGACAAGACATGTATTTTAAAATTTTACTAAATTTAAATTAGTAAATTTAAGACCAAAGAAAAATAGATATATAAAGTACATTATTTAACAGGCTTTCCTTTTTAAGCCCTGATGCTGCAGATCTGTATTTATTGACATAAAAGATGCCCGCAATGTATTGTTCAATGGGAAAAAAATCAGGTTATAGAGCAGCAGGCATGAACTGACCTGGTCCAGAGTCTTCTTACCCCATCCAATAGCTTTCATCTTACGTTTGACTTCCCACTGCTTCTGATAGGCCAAAATATGATTCAGAGGCCAAGGGTAAGGAGATCCATACCTAGCATGAGTAATCTAAAGCAAAAAGATTTTGTTAAAAATGTGATCCTTCCTAAAAATGATGCATAGTTTTACAAACAGAATTCTAAAAGAAATATATTTTCAGAGAATATAAATATAGCAATCTGAGAAAAATATATAGCTTGCAATCTAAAAAATTAAAATCTTAAACTGTACCCTTTAAAAAATATATAAACTTTTATGTACTTTGCAAACAGTTATATCAAACAATGACACACAGCTTCCCTAAAGTGTATGTGCAAGCAAAATTAAAGTAAGTGAAAAACTGTATCACTAATGGTATAAACCACAATGTTTCATTTATGAGCAGGGACTTGCGATTCTGAGCAAAAGTGTTTTCTCATTAAATTTTAATTAAGATAAATGCTGCAGAACTACTCACCTCCCCTACTGTAGCCTCATCACACCACTGAAGATACAACTAGGAACAAAAGAATAGTCACTGAAACTTCAGAATACCAAAAAGAAAAAGGATAAAGAAAGTTATTTCTTGCCATAGTAATTTTTTATAAACCAATTTTATAAGTCATATATGTGAGGGTTTATTTTCCTTAGCTACTACAGAGAATTATTAAATTTAATGGTGGAACTTTATGAAAATATTTCTTATGTATAAGATACATCTCTAAATACCATTAAGTAAACTTCAAAAGGCCAAAGTAAAATAATGAGTAGGCAAGAATCACTCCTTTTTACAAACAGAAAAACTAAAAGTGAAAATGCCAGGTAATTTGTTCAAAGATAATGATCAAATAATTTGGGTAACTGTCCCAACCCTAAAATTATGAATACTTGACTATTTTCCCATTTCTCAATAACTTTAAAATAATCCATAGGAAAGATTATATTTCATGAGAAGAAAAAAACTTATTTTTAAGCTATATTATCTGGTATAATATTATACCTCTGCAGTCAGCAGCATATTGTTGACTAATTCCATGTAAGCTTTCATTTCTGCTTTTTGGACTTCATCCAGCCTGTCACTAAGAGAATGGCCCTAAAGAGAATTTAAGAAAATTTAAAAGAACATCATGTTAAATATACAAAAACTTTCAGTTATCTTAATAACAAGTACTATAACATATAACTGTCTACTGGATTAATTTCCAAAATACCTCTCAAAACAAAATTATTTTATATAAAAGCATATAATATTCTGTATCACTACAAAATATTAATTAATAGCATTTGCCATTATACCAATGCATTTTCAATAGACAAAACTACATTATCAGTTACTTCACTGATAAGAAGAAAGATGAAAAAAATACAGTTAGTAAAGATATAGAGAAACAGGCACTAATTTTAAAATTCTAAAACACTATAGTAACTAGTAGATATATGAAATGGTATATATATCCTTTAGTTCGATCTGGCAATCTATTGCAAGATTTTAAAAATACGTACCCTGTGACATCCCAAAACCACTCTTAGGAATTTATTCTAAGGAGACAGACAAATGTACAAAGGTGTACATACAAGACAATTTATCTTAGCACTCTCTAATAGCAAAAAATTGGCTACAACCTAAATGCCCATCAATAAAGACTTGAGAAAATAAAATTGTAATATAGCCAATACAACAGAATACTATCAAATAATTTAAAAGGATAATATATATTTATATATCTGTAGTCATTAATATGGAAAAATGTCCAAATATATTAATGATTGTAAAACGTAGGCTGTAAAATAACACACACTAGTATCATCTGTTTTTCTATATATGCAAAAAGAAAAGTCTGGAAGGATGTTCCCTAAAACATTAATGGGGTTGTTCTTTGATAAGTATTTAAAATCTAAACTGAATAAATGAAAAGTAGAATCATTCAAATACATAAATCAATTTCTGAACATATCCTCTAACTCCCTTTTCAAAAGTCAACTGGATACTTCATAACCACCTAACCATTTTAATTTATGACTAAAATTCTCATAAGTTAGAAAATTATCTACAATTTATAAAGATCAAACTACCTTGTTTGTCCTTAACTTACATTATGAAAAAACACCAACTTATACTTCAGAGATATTTTTAAGTAGTTTGTATCGGCATTTTATAAAACTAGGTTAAAATCAATGTAAATGTTAAGATACACTAAAGAATGATGAATGACTTATTTAAGAGGAACTGTAATCAAATACATTTAATATTTTTTATTACCTTGGCTTTAACAAATTGGACTATTGGACCAAGTTCTGATACTACTTGATTTCCCACATGAATAAAAGGTACTTTACCTGTTGAGGGAAAGAATATGTAAAAACACTTTTAGTAAATTAAAGTCTGCACTAACAAAAAAAGAAATTAACACAAAACTAGGATGTTTTAATACAGAGATTTCATGAAACCGTAACTTTTGAAAATAACAGTCAGATGTATATGTTAAATTCTATAAAGTTTTAAATATTAATTACTAACCAATTTTAAAACAAAGAAAAAAAACAGATTAATTTCTAGAGTACTCACTTGGATATAATAATAGATTACAATATTCTCTTTTCAGAGCTAATACTAATAAAATATTTGTAAATAAAGTACATTTAGCTACAATTTCCCATTTTCCCTATGTATGGCAAGTTTTGGGACACCCTGTATAGTGATAAACACTAATTGTCCAAAATACATGAATCAAGCCAGGACATTGGTTCATGACCACTGATAAATTTCAAAGAAATTTAACTGGGCTTTCTCTTCAGAGTACAATGAAACAATCTACATTATAAACACATTTAAGAAGTCTTCTTTTTACATATTCTAATTTTAAATCTTTGATACTCATTAAGGTCAATATTTTAAGTACATATGGTGTATTAATAAATGTTTTTCACTCAAAATATCAGGAATTAAAAGAATTAACAATCTCTGAAGGTATGTTACTTGGTGAGTTATAATACAAAGTATGTTCCCAATACATGTGGGGAAAAAAGAACAAGTAGTACACTTATAAAAACGGGCTTCTCTAAATACACATCACATTAAAAGAGTAACATTTCATTTTAATAAATACTAATACTTAATGAAATTATCAGAGATGAGAGAACAAAATACTCTTCAAATAGCAAGAAGGTCTACTCCAAATGCTAAAGAATGAAATGTGCTGTCAGATCTAGTTCAAATAGAGTTCACACTAACAGCAGGCTTCTTCCTGCTCCTTTTCAATAGATTCACTCCTCTTTGGCTTAGTCAGCCTGGGGGTAATGGATGAGGTGCACAGCACCAACAAAAGCTTCATCTGCATCCATAGGATAACATGCATTACAAAGGAAAGCCAGACCTTGTGGAACACAACAACTCTTTAAGATGTATTTAGAAGACATTTCCCTGTTACCAATTCTGCATTTCTTCCTTCTATTGCTTTATAAATCTTGTAAAAAAAAAAAAAAAAAAAAAAAAGAATTTATCTGGGTAAGCATTAGGCCATATTGTTTTTTAACTTGGGATAAAATCTTTGTAACTACTATACTACAAGAATTAGTGCAAGCCTTCTGAGATAAAATGATCTAAGAATGAAAACTATATAGTGCTTAGACTAAAGGGTATTTTGAGGTATAACACTATTACAGCAAAGTGCATTTGTCATTTTCAATAACTAGTGTCAGGTTCTTGAAAAAAGAGTTTGTATTTTATTTCTTTTCTTATAAAATACCTTAAGCATTGTAGATTCTAAAGCAGGGAAGAAGTGTGGGTAGTCAATTGAGTATCCATCTTATATATCTCTAAATATAAAGAGACATATAAAAATCAAGGCACCAAGTTAGAAGTGAATAATGTTTTCTGTCACTAGCTTGACTTAAAATGAAGCCAATGTTATATCCTTATTATTGCAGGTATCAGGCAAAAGCACAGTGAAACAATTATTCTCTGGTACCATTCAAAGGTCATAAAAGAAAACCAAGCCCTCTGTTTTTCATTTTAGGCAGAATAATCACAGAATAGAACTTTTATTTCTAAAGAAAGCAAGACCATGTTGCCAAGCAAACTTGCAGATTCAGAAAATGTTAGAAATATAAAGGACCTTGGATGTCATCTAATTTATCCACCTCAGACTACAGATAAGTTACTGAGGCTCAGAGAGGTTAACTTTTCCAAGGAAATAGTTAATATGTGACAAAGTCACAGAAAGGATAAAGATTTCCTAACTCTTAGCCAAGTGGTCTTCTGACTATGCCATGTTATCTGGTTTAAAAATCTACCATGAGATCAAACAAGCAAATAAAAAAAACATTTCCCCAATCACCCCAAATCATTTGATAAAAGAGAATACCAATTTGAGATATGATGAAATTTAAATATCTTAGTAGAAAATACCATTTTCATCTACCTATAGTCTCCTTCATAAGGAGACTCCTACTTATGAAAGAATGTTTGTATGCATTGTATATCTCTAACATCTATATGTTTGTCTTTCATAGAGTCTGTAAAAAGGTGATAGATATCTACCTAAGTGCTACTAAGTATAGTAAATTTAGGCAACAGGCAGATGAACTATATTGACTTCTCATTTGCTAAAGATTTTAATTTTTTAGTATTAGATTACCACCTTTTTGTATGTAAATACACAAACTCTTTTTGTATGACTATGTAGAGGAAAAATACGGACAGAATACACTGCATTTCACCAGAACTCAGTAAAGTTTGTAAAACCTGTGTATAAAATCAGCATAAAAATGAGTCAATGAATGGCCTCCAAGAATCTAAAATATGTTCATGTTTATAAATCTAGAAATTCTTTTATGGAAATGCTTCCTACATATATATTCATAAACCTGTATAGGTATATTCATAAATATTCAATATGTATGAGGTGGGTGTTTTTGACAATTATTACCACCCTTAAGAACTTAAGGTGAAAAAAAAATGTTTAAAACAAGTCATTCCAAAGTTATCATCACATCACAATGAAAAGATAGATATCTCCCTAAAAAGCAACGTAACATACCAATCATACTTAATGATTTATTCAAAAAGGAGTGATTTTATTATTACTACAGTAAAACCATAATTATGACAATGCATGCCAATTATACTTTACATTTATTTATAAGTTTTGTGCTACTATATTTTAATATTAAAATTATCTGAATCATATTTAAAACAGTAATTTAATATACTAACATATAGAAAGATTATACTGATTATAAAAAATAGAAACACTAAAACTTTCATAAAAATTTCCTTCAAACTCGTTAATATAAAGCATTAGAAAAAAAAAATAGAAACCAAAACATTCAGTGATGACTTTAACAGCTAATGACAAATTAATTATGCTATAATCTTTTTCTGCCTATATTATGGAAAGGTATAATTTAGAGAAATGTGTTGAATAATAAATGGATTCATTATTAACTGAAAAGTAAAGTCTTATATAAGTAAAACTGGGGAAATCTGAGGTCATGTATTTTCTTAATATTTACTATTTAAAACAATTCCCATAACACACCAATAACTATCTCTGACCAGAATTGAAATAAATACACATGCTGAACCCCAAGATTGTCAAGTTTGCTGTTCTTACCTTATAAAACCATGGAATCTTCCTCAAAAGGTAAACAAAACAATCAGGCATTTTTAACATGTAGGTACAAACTGGACTATCACTATAATTTTACCAATGTAGAATTTTAACAGAAAAGAATAAAACACACTTACCAGATGGAGACATATATTCTGCATTTGCCCTACAAACTACTTTGATAGGCAGATTACACATTTGCAAAAAGGCCTGTGAATCAAGGAGACATACAATAAACCTAGTGAAGGTATATGCATATTTGAACAGAACTTTCCATTCATTTATTTTCTAAACTTAATTAAGTTCATACTGCAGTCCTCCACTGGAAAAGAATGAACCAATTTAAAGTAAAAGATTTGTTTTCCAAACAAAAATACTATGTCATTTCACTATTTAAAAATCAATGATTTAGATATCAGTAAACATATGAAACTTAAAGTATGTATATATACTTAAGGAAGAAAATGTAAATTATCCAAAATTATTTTCCTGTATTAATTTATATAAGTCAGCAATACTGTATATTGCTTTAATTTTCTTAAATAGATGACTAAAATCCAAATGTTATAAGCTATTCATTGCTTAATTCTACTACTCTCTATAGGATAATCATTTTTCTCATCTTAGGGGAAAACTCAAAATGTTTATTTTTGCTACTTCAAAGTTTTCTCCAATAATACTCTAATATCCTAACATGTAGCTTCTATGCTCACTAATTCACTTTTTAAAGACTTAAATTATTATTTTCACTATGCTTATAGTAACAAAAATTTCATAAGCAAGTTAAATATCTAAATGATAAGGGGAAGGGATAAATCATTATAGTAAATCTAAACTATGAAATGTTATATAGTCCATTTAAACTTAGGCTTTTGAAGAAATTTTTATGACAAGAAAAAAAATGTACACATTATAATATTAAGTGAAAAATACAAAATTGTATTACTATATTGTACTAATTCATTTTTAAATGTTTTTAAGACACTAGTAAACTGTATGATAAATCCACTATTTTTTATAATACTCAAAGCTTATTCCCCTTGTTTTCTCTTCTCTGACTTCTTGGTGGCTTCTTTTCCACTCACAAAATTTATCTATGCTTCTAAAAATAATTCAATTACTCAATTGGGAGGTCATAAATTACAATGGCTCTAATTACCACATACAAATTAGAAAACAAATTTTTTATCTCTTTTGAAACTGAAGGAACTCCTAAAAATGTAAGAAACTACCAGTCAAATGTAAGTTGAGATGAAACTAATAAACAAGGCTATTACTTATCACATAATACCCAACAGAGATTTCATATAGGTTTATTACAATTCCTTCCTCAGTTCTACATTAGTAATCAGTTTTAAAGACTCTTGTTAAGTAGTAAGAGTACTGAATAGTGATTAATATCTTGTACAAAGAACTCCATTTACCCAAAAGTATATCAATTCTCTTCTTCAAACATGTCTTCTCTTCTTCAAACCTGTCTTCAAACTAGAGAACTCTAGTCCTCTAGAGATGGTCCCCTCTAAAAATAAATCCCACATGAGTCTGATCCCTTCCACTTACACCCTCTCATCCCTGCATTGCTTGGTAATTTGTATGTGCATCTCTGGTCTCCCCAAGTGAATGGCATCTTTCAGAAAGCCTAAAAGCAGATTTTAATTTTTTTGTAATTCTGTCTTCCTCTCCCAAATCTCCCTCATTTTCCCACAACTAACCTAAAGTGGTTCACTACTTATAATATTAAAGTATTCAATGTTGTTTACTGATTGGACCAAGCAAAGCTCCCCAAGAGTTTATCATGGCAGAGGCTGTTAGTTATCCCCACAATATATGTTCACCCCTTTCCCCACACTAGTAGAACCTATGAATTACATCTGCACACATGGCTGCCAGAAATAAAAACTCTTATTTCCCAGTCTCCCTTTACAACTGGGTGTGGCCAATATCTAAATTCTGGTCAATGGGACTAAACATTCTGGGCAACTGCTTTATAAGGAGTAGATATCTTCTTTTTTTTTCCTCCCTGCTGACTATAATATAATAAGGATGACTATAGCTACAGCAGCCAAATTGAACCATGAAATAGAAATTAAGTGTTGGAAATGGTAGGGCAACAGGAGTAGAAAGAAGCCTAGGTTCCTAATAATCATGTAGTCATCAAACCTGGATCACCCATGTTTATAAGAAAGAAACCATCTTTTTAAGCCACTGCAATTTAAAGTATAGCGTTACTCATTTGCTGAGCAACTCCAATTGATAAAATGATCAGGCAAATGTATTAACATATGAAACTAAAAACTAAGGAATAAATAAATTAAAACTATAGCCCACAAATATATTCATTCTTTGAATATAAATTTATGCTCACTATTACAGCACTAATAGCGAGCTTCTTGACTGACGCACAAAGAAAGGCTAGGGTGGTGGTTCTCAAACTTCAGCATGCATCATAATCATATGGAAAGCTTGGTAGGAAAGAATTAGAGAAAATAAATATAAACTACTCTTTCAAAAAACATGGATCAGAAGAAAAGAAGAAAGGAGTAGAAGGGTCAACTCCCTTCTAATACATACATATCTATACTGGTGGAGAAAAGTGGAGCTCATTAAAGCACAGAAAGAAAAAAACAAAACAAAACTGGAGATAGGCTAAAATTACAAGAAACAGGTGTAACAGCTGCTATACAAGATCCATGAGTAGGTAAAAATGGGATGGACTAAGAACACAGGTGAAGTGATCTGTTTTTGTCAGGAAACAGGACACTTTTTTCACTGTATTGCAAAGGGTGGTGGGAAATCAGTGATGATAACTGTAAGCTGATCACAGAGAAGGATGAGAAAATAAGCAAGTGTTCACATTCTGGGAAATAGGAGAAATCATTTGCTGAGAATGAGAAGCTAAGAGGGGACTGAAGTCTTCAGTACAGCAAAAAGAGTTTGAAAGAATTGTTTAATATATCTTCTCTAAGGCCTGGATATTCTATTGTTAATTAATAATTATTATACTATATAAATAGTAAATATGGTATATTTTGCTAAACTACCTGTACAGATGTAACTATACTAATCAATATTTCAAAATGCCGTATTTCCCAAAAACAGAAGAGGATTAAGCAGAATCATAATGTTCTGCAATCAAACGCAAGCTTTTTACTTTTTTGAAAAAAAAAAAACTGATTTAATTTTTACCAATTTAACAACACTCAACTTACCACAGACCTCAAGTGATAGCATAATTCTCATTAGCCAAAGATTAATTTTATAGCATTTACTACAATTACTCTTCATCACTGATTCAAAAGAAATTTTCTGAATTAATCTATGGTTCACAAAGAAGTTTGATGTCACAAACACATTTTCATCCAATATTAAAAATGCGAAAACAAAACATTACCACGCCTACCTTCAACTAAAATGAAAGGAAACTTTGATTCAAACAGTAGTTCTTTTCCTTTCCCTTATAGGATGGAAAAAAACACCTGAGAGGATCCAAAATATTACTTTCACCTTCGACTTTCATTTTCAATACCTTCTCAGCACACAAAAATACTCCAAATAACAGGTATGATACACTAACCTAAAATATATTTTATTTTCAATTGTGAAACAGCAATCTGTATATTTTATTCTCATGTAAATCCAAAGAAAAATGTAGTTCTAATAGTAATAATGAACTTAGGATAACTTACATAACTCTTATTCCTCAGTTGAAAACTTTATTCTAAACTAATTGAAATGAATGACAACATAATTTGAATCAAAAACTTAACACATACTATCAGAATAATATTTTATAACTATGCTGTCCAATATGGTAGCCACTACTCACATGTGGCTATTTATCTTAAGTTTAAATTAAAATTAAATAAAATTTTAAATTCAGTTCCCCAGTCACACTAGCCACATTTCAAGTGCTTGATAGACACATGTGGCTAGGCTATGTATTTATTGGACAACACAAATACAGAACATTTCCATCATCACATATGATGATGTCTATTGGATGTCTATCAGACAGGATGGGTCTATACCAATGATAATCAGTACATAAAAGAGATATTAGCAAGAGAGACTGACATCATCTAAAAATTGTTAGACTAAATATTGTGAAAACAACCTACATAATAATAGTGTTCAAAGATCCTGCAAGTGATCAACTTTGGATGATGGTGATATATTAAACACCATAACATTTCCAATTTCAGAGAGAAAGAACTAATATAGGGTTACTCATTACCAAGCAACTACAATTGATAAAATGATCAGGCAAATGTATTAACATGTGAAAACTAAGAACTAAGCAATGAATAAATTAAAACTACACCCAATAAATAAATTCTTTCTTTGATTATAAATTTACTAAGTACCTATGCATAGCATAAGACAGAGAATTTTTTAAACACACACGCACACAGAACAGCTAATAACTGATTTCTAAGACCCTGAAATTTAATAAGCTTGGTGTAGTTTCAACATATTTATTAGTAAGTTAATTGAATTCATAATGTCTAAAAATACATTGAAAGGGGGTAGGGTGTCAGTATATTTTTTAACTTCAAAAAAATCCAAAGGAAAAAAATAATACCGATCATCAATCAATAACCATTTAAACATGAAGGATTGAACTAACACATTTATCTCTGCAACCTTTCAAAAAATCTATTGAGAGAACAGTGAAGAAACAGAAATAGAAAAGGTATAAACCCAGAAAGACACAAAGAATGGGAGAGGAGAGAAAAGCAGACCAGGATGTGAACCCATTTTTTGAAAGATGAAAAGCAGACTTAGCATGGCAGAGGGAAGCTGAAACCTAAGAGTGTGCAGAGAAGAAAGACAATATATTTGCATCACAGAAACGAGGAAGATTCCAAAACTGAAGGAACCATGTAACACAGAAGGCAGAAGTGAGGTACATGAATGCAAATAGAAGGACTGGCTGAAAGTCTATATAAGCATCAGCCCTCCCCACATTTGTTACCAAAAATGTGACATGTTATTTGAGAGCACACATGAAGACATATCACATCAGAGAATGGAAGCTTCTTTAATACAACTCTCACCTGAAAACTACTCCTAGACTATCTGACTCAATTTTAAATAGATTAATATCTGTCGGCTGTAGGAAAAAATCAGGTTCTTTCTGAAAGCAACAAAAAAGACAACCAGAATAGAAAAAGATATAAGCTTTCCCTATTAGAATTACATATAAATAA